TAAGAAGCGATGGCCTCCAACCTAAGAAGCGATGGCCTCCAACCGATTAAGAGCGATGGCCTCCAACCTAAGAGCCATGGCCTCCAACCTAAGAAGCGATGGCCTCCAACCTGAGAAGCGATGGCCTCCAATCTAAGAGCGACGGCCTCCAACCTAAGAGCGATGGCCTCCAACCTAAGAGCGATGGCCTCCAACCTATAAGAGCGATGGCCTCCAACTTACAGTAAGAGCTACGGCCTCCAACCTGTAAGAGCGATGGCCTTCAACCTAAGAAGATGGCCTCCAACCTAAGAGCGACGGCCCCCCAACCAAAGAGCGACGGCCTTCAACCAAAGAGCGACGGCCTCCAACCTAAGAGCGACGGCCTCCAACCTAAGAGCGAAGGCCTCCAACCTAAGAGCGATGGCCTCCAACCTAAGAGCCATGGCCTCCAACCTAAGAGCGATGGCTTCCAACCTAAGAGCGATGGCCTCCAACCTAAGAGCGATGGCCTCCAACCTAATAGCGATGGCCTCAACGCTAACAGCGACGGCCTCCAACCTAAGAGCGACGGCCTCCAACCTAAGCGCGATGGTCTCTAACCAAAGCGCGATGGCCTCCAACCTAAGAGCGACGGCCTCCAACCTAAGAGCGACGGCCTCCAACCCAAGAGCAATGGCCTCCAACCTAGTAGCGATGGGCTCCAACTAATAGCGATGGCCTCCAATCTAAGAGCGATGAGCTCCACCCTAATAGCGATGGCCTCGACCTAAGAGCGATGGCCTCCACCTAATAGTGATGCCTAATTAGCGATGGCCTCCACCTAATAGCGATGGCCTTCAACTTCAAGCCTGTTGCTAGTGCTTGGCATTGCAGAACCAAGGCCTCTAGGAAGGGTTTATTTAGGAAGATAGAGAGGCGCTAACATGTCCTTTTGGGTGTTGCATGCCTCCAGCAACGTGACTATCACATGTGTGGCTTTGAACATATTGTGGATGTAAACCTTCCAATGCGTGTTGAAAGTTTTTGTAAAGATGTGCAGGACAAACGAAATGTCATAATGGCGGTGTCTGGAGATTTACAGCCATCACGTCTCTTGCAAAGACGAAAAAGGCACGGGTGACTTGATTGCTTCACTTGCATCACAAGGGAAAACTTTGTCTTGAGGGACTATTGAGGACTGCGTTCCAAATATTGTTGGAGCAACTTGTCAAATTGTCCGTTCTTTGTTGAAGTTCAAAAAAAATTGCAGCACTCTGCAAAGTTTGCTCGGACCCAGCAAGCAATGTCCACTAAAAACTCTACGAACTAGCAGTGTTGCCCGTGACTGCGCACGAGTGGCTCTGCAGGTAGCTGCAGCACGAGGCCACGGATAGATACCTAGCAAAACTTCTCCCTATTACTACAACATCTGGCTTGCAGAGTCTCTGATCACCAAAGGAGAGGTCTTATGGTCCAAAGGAGGTCTTGTTAGCTTGAAACATTGCTTCCAGGTTGGAGGCCATCGCTAGGTTCGAGACCATTCCGCCCAGGCACCCAGCAGTTTTGGCCAACACCCTTTGGACAAATCCGCCACCGGTGTTGCCACAGCTCATCTCTGGTGATCACACGCCCACGCATGCGCCGTGACCATGGCCATGGCACCCACTCATCTCTGAGCCAGCTGAACATCACAGGACCCAATCAGCATTACTAGCGTCCTTGCTCCTAGTGGTATGGCCAGGAGCCCCTAGTAGCGTCCTTGCTCCTAGTACTAGCGTCCTTGCTCCTAAGGCCCTAGTCCTTGCTCCTAGTAGCGATGTATGGCCAGGAGCCCCTAGCAGCGTCCCTGCTCCTAGTAGTAGCGATGCCAGGAGCCCCCAGTAGCGTCCTTGCTTCTAGTAGTATGGCCAGGAGCCCCTAGTAGCGTCCTTGCTCCTGGTAGCGATGCCAGGAGCCCCTAGTAGCGTAGCGTCCTTGCTCCTAGTAGTATGGCCGCCCCTAGTAGCGTCCTTGCTCCTAGTAGTATGGCC